AAGTAGAAGGCAGGCAGCTCTGCAGCTGTTTCCTGCCTCAAGGCTCCAGATCTCCGGGGCCTCAGAATCAGGTCCACCTGCTGGATCTGGCCTCAATCCCCTTTGACAGACAAGCACCACCCCAGCGCCTCCAGCTCAGGCCCTGTCTATCATCCCTCCAGCCTTTGCTCACACAGGGTCCCCTTCCTGGAAGGCTCGCTCAGGCTTCCCAGGCACCAGGCACACTTCCTCCCTGCCCAGAAGCCTTACTTCATCACCACCCGCCCCTCCCACAGGGCCCCTCCCCAGCTGAGCCCTCGTAGCCCCTCTGGGAGGGTGTGCAGGTAAGTACAAGGGAACAGCTGGACGTGCACCTGACTGCGGGGCCACCCGGGACCTGGGCCAGCCTGGAGCTAGAAGCAAGTCTGACTACCAGCGACTAGGTGCCAGGCCAGGGTTGCCTGGCAGGGGAAGGGAGGGAAAAGGGGAGAAGAGAGAAGAGGGGGAAGGTGGGGGGGAGAGAAGGAGAGGGATAGGGAGGAGAAGGGGCGAGAAGGGAGGAAGGAGGAGAAGAAAAGGCGCGGGAGGACATGGAGAGGAAGGAGGGGCCGCTCTTAGCCCCAGGGTCCCAGGAAGGCTAAGCCAGAGCCCAACACGGCAACGGTGACGGGGCTGTGGGGCAGCCGGTTACCTTCAGACACACGATGACACCCAAAGAACAGATCGGTCCTCCTGGGCAGAGTGAAGTTAAGCGGAGAGGAAGCCCCTTTGGGGGAGAGGCCCCAACTTTAGACCAGCAGTCACGCCTCCTTCCTACTCCCCCTGCCCCTACGCAGCAGTGAGGTGGGGAGCAGCATACAGCAGGAAGACGGTCCCAGCCTGGTAGCCACCTGGGCCTCCTGCTGTGTCCCAGTTCAGCCTAAGGAGCTCAGCCACCCTCCTGGGTGACCTCCGAGGTCAGACCCTCCTGACTGTGGTTGTAGACTGAGCCTTGACCCTGGCAGGGTGGACTGGCCCCCAGGGAACTGGAGGAGGCCCCAGATGGCTCACTCTCTCCTCCTACGCCACAGGGCTGGGTGACAGATCTGGTCTGTGGGTGTCAGAGACAGGTCCTGGCTCTGAGTGACCGCTGGCAGCTGGGCCCGAGGTGGCTCATGGGTGGCTGATTTCCTGACCTTCTTGAGACCAAACATATGACCAGCCTCTGCCTCCTCCTCCTAAGGCCAAGCACATGGGTACAGGAACACAGCAGGTGTCTAATAGATGCCAGCTCCCTCTCTGAACCCCAGCCCCAAGTTTCCTCAGAGAAGCTGCTACTCCTGTCCCCACGCCCCCAGGTCTCCCCACCTCCCCTCCACGTGGACTCAGTGTGTCTCCTTCTCAGGCCTGGGTGAAGCTGTGAATCCCCTCCCCGCCTCCCCTCCCTCCTAGCCTTTCCCAGCCCAGATACATATCACACCAGCCCCCATTCAGTGTCCTCAGCTGGCTGTCAGTTAATCCCTGCAGAGGTGTTAACTGATAATTAAGATGTTAGCTGTAAACTTAACGTGTGATTCCCTGCCAGGAGTATTTTGGTCTTAACAGGTTGCTTTTAGAATGGGAAAACCTTCAAGGCCCAGCCAAATGGCAGGCAGGGATGCAGAGCGGGGTGTTGGCGGGCATTCTGTGCCTGGAGCCCTTCTAGCCTCCAGAACCCCCTCCTCATCTCTGGCTTCACTGAGAACAGAAGGCAGGGGTAGGAACCCGGAGCTCTGCCTTCAAGTGTCAGCCCTGCACCTGTGAGACGACGATCCTGGACATGAGATGAAACCTCTCAGAACCTTAGTTTCCTTGTCAGCAAATGGTGAGACAGAACACCGACCTTGCAGAATTGCAGGGCAAACTGACCAGGCTGACAGGTAAGGCCCTGTATGCTCAGCACACAGGAGCCCTGAGAGCTCCCCTCATCCCCGACTTCCCTCTGCTTCTTCCCAAACTGAAGGTAACTGTGTCAGCTTCCACTTCTCCCGCCTCCTCACACCAACTCCAATCAATCTATCCAATCTGTTAGCAATAGGATTTCTATTGGCTGTACTGTGAGCATGCACGTGGAATCCATCCACTTCTCCCCACCTCCACCAAGACTCCCTGGTTCAGGCCTCCACCACCTATTCCCCGTCAGATCTCCCTGCTTCAGTGAAAAGCCAGGTGATGGCAAAGGGAGCTGAACCCGGGATGCCAAGCCTCCTGCAGCCAAGGTACTTTGCGGGCGTGCCGTGCAAGACAGAGCCCGAGCAAACGCAGACAGTGAAAGCAGGACAGCAACGGGTGGCAGGGATGGCAGCTGCCGGAGGGGTCTGGTGAAAACGTAATTCCAATCATGCCACATCAGTATGCAGAACCTTCCGTGGCCTTCCCCACTTCATTCTGGGTAACAGCCAAGTCCTCCAGGTGGCCCACAGGCCCACGTGATGGGGGTGTGGTCCATGTCCGGTGGCATGGCCCACTCGCCCCCTCGCTCACCCTGTTCCAGCCGCACCAGCCTTCTTGCCATGCCCGCACAAGCCAGGTCTGCACCTGACTCAGCATCCTCAGACCTGCTGTTCCTGCTGTCTGGAACGCGCTTTCTGCCAAACATCCACTGGACTCAGTCTCTCACTTCTTGCAGGTCTTTACCTAAATGCCACCTCTCAGATAGACCTTCCCTGACAACCGTGTCCAAGTCACCCAGCACTTCCCATCCCCCTCCTCTCCTTGATTTTTTCACCCTAGCACCTAACACTCCCACACACGCGCTGTATTTTTCCTTGTCCGTATCTCCTCCGTCACAGCTTACGTTCCTTGGAGCAGGTATATTTTGTCAGTTTTGTTCACTGTGTGGTCCCTAACCAAAACCATGTCTGACACATAGTAGGTGATTAGTCAATACTTCCTGAATGAGTGGATACAGAAGCAGAGGACTTGACATGAACAAGCAATTTACAAGTGAAGAAATAGAAATGGCCAACGAGCATATACAAATATGCTCAACCTCATTAACAGTTTAAGAAACACAAAGTAAAATCATTTTTATCTGTCAAATTGGCAGGGATTAAGTGATTAATAATTCCTGTGATTGGCAAGGGTGAGGGAATGGGGCATTTTGCACACAGTTTGTAGGAGCATAAATCGGCCCAACCTTCTGCAGGGTGATGTGGCTGTCCGGAACAAATCAAAGGTGGAAATATGGGCACCCTGTGACTCAGGAAGTCCACTTCCAGAAACACTCCCGAAAGAACTATAGCACAAGCACAAACAGATGTGCAAACCCAGAGGTTCCCTGAGTGAGGTTTATAAATAGCCAAGTGCCAGAAACAACCTCAATGGCCGCCAATGGGATTAATCATCGATGAATAATTTGCAGACCATCATACAGTGGATATACAAGGATGGGGAAGAGCTCTATGGAAGGAGCTGGGATGAGCCACATGACATACTGTTGGGTAAAAATCAAGTGCTGGAGCAGTATTACTACTATGAGCCCATGTTTTTCCTTTTAAAATATGTTGATAAGTACATCAAAAAAAAGCCTGAAAGGGGTATATCAAACTAGTTATCAGTGCTAGCTCTTGGGAGGAAAAGACTGCAGAACGGACTTGAACTGCATGCTTTAACTCCCTAGAGACAGACGGATAGCTAGACAGATGCACAGATAGGTAGATGATAGATGCATGGAAAATAGATAACAGAGAGAGAACAGATTACCTTAATCAGAAAAATGATTCTGCTTAGGGAGAAAATACCTTCTGCGGCTCCCCAATATCAAAGGGTACAGAAGTAAGCCAATCCAAGCCCTTCGTAACCTGTCACTGCCTCAGCCCTGTTGCCCCTATCCCCACTGTGGCTCCCCAAAGTGCTCTGCGTTCCAAGCTCACGAAGCAATTTTCTATTCCTGGTTCCTTTCACAGCTCCATGCCTGTCTCACAGCTCTGTTCGCAGGCACAAAGGCCCACCCTGCCCCATCCCATGACTTCCTCAGCCTGGACTCTGCTGTCCGAGAGTCAGAGGGGGGAAGATGAGGAACTATACAGCACTCCCAAAGATCAGGACTGCTGCCCTGCCCCCAGCCAGAACCGCCAGGTCTCTGCTCTAGCGATGGCCTGCAGCAGTGGGGGGATCAGGAAATGCCCCTTGATTGTGGCCTGGGCAGGCTGGCTGCAAAAGGCACTGGAGGCAGCTGATCTAAGGAGGCCAGGGTGAGCCCAGCAGGGAGGTCTGGCCAGAGAAGGAGGGAGACTGGGGGTTCAGCCCCCACAACTTGGGTTGCCAGATTTGGCAAATAAAATTGTATGTGCCATGTAGTAGTTGAGATATATTTACACTGAAAACTTATTTGTTGTGTGTCTGAAGTTCCAATTTAACTGGACATCAGTATTTTTTTCTGGCAACCCTAGCTGCTTCCGCATCCCATCCCTTGGGTGACTTGGCACCAGGCAGAAAGCCCTTCACCTGGGATGTCCGGAGTGTTGGAGAAATACCCCCTCTCAGGCTCCCCACTCTGAAAGTTGAGACAGGCTCGTTCTGGGTGCTGGCAGATGTCCCACGGAGAGCTGGTAACTTCCAGAGTAAGTGCCATCGGGCAGTACACTGGGCAGTGGGGTAAAAAGCCAGGCGAAGGCAAAGGGAGCTGAACCTGGGATGCAAAACCTCCTGCACTGGTGCGCAGCACAAAACAGAGCCTGAGCAAACGCAGACGGCGAGCACGGGACAGCGACGGGGTGGCAGGGACGGCGTGGCCCAGTGCCTCTCAGCATCCCAGGACGCAGCCTAGGGAGGAAGAATGGCCGCGGGGTGGCCTTCCTTCGCAGGGGTCAGGAACTCCTCCACAGGAGGCCCCCTGCTGCCAGGGCCTTCAAACGCCACACTGTGTCCCCCACCATGGCCCCTGGCAGGGGCTCATTCACTAAAGGCCGGCCTGAGTCGGGGGACCTGGTCCTCAGACCCAGAGCGTCCCACCCAGCACAGAAGCAAGAGGCCGGTGAGCCCACCTTGCTCTCCCCTACCTGGGTCAGATGGCGTCAGGAGGCAAACAGACTGGCCTCTGGGGGCCTGGGGCACTGCAGCCTGTCCGTCGAGGTCCCAGCATGCACTGTGGAGGAAGAGCGGGAAGGTCAGTGGGGCAAAGACGGGGCTTCCTGCTACCCTGGGTGAGACCCACTCAGCAGAGCTCCCCAAGGGGGATCCCACTGCCCAGCCCTGCAGGGTTCAGTGCTGCCTCTCAGCACAGCACGGGCTCCTCAGCGCCACCCCACCCACTCCCCAGCACCCTGGAGTGTGGCCAGTCCTTGAATCACATCCCGGCGAGCATGAACACCCTGGTCTGGCATTCAAGCCCCTGCTAAGCCCCTAACCTTCTCACTGCCTCTCCGTGTCCTCCAAAGGTCAGCCCCACCTCTGCAAGTTTTGTTCAAGTGCACAGACACACAGATGGACAACCCCACCCCATTCTCTCTGGAACTCTCATTGTTACCAACAAATCGGTCCCCTGCCTCCTGAAAGCTTCGCTTATATGTCTTCAGCCCCAGTACCCCTCAATACCCTCAGCAAGGTCGCCAAGGATCCCATCTGCACCCCTAACCCTCCCGCCTCAGCCTGTGGTCTCCAGCAGCTGACCCCCTTTGGAAACACTCTCTCTCCGTGACCCCCCGATCCACCCTTCCTCTCTTCACTGCACCCCATCATGCATCCTAGACATGGCCGCAGGTGGTTTCCCTCCCTCCCTCCTCCCTTCTCCCAGACCATCCTGTCCACACCTGTGCTTCAATCACCCTCTGTCTATGCCCCCAGTGGCACCCACTATGCCTAGAGAAGAGTGAAGCCCCTTAACCTGGCCCACAGGGCACTGTCCAACCCAGTCCTGACCTATGGGCCACCCTCCCCTCCTTTCCCGGCCACACAACCACCTGCCACCTCCTCAGAAATCCCTCCGTGACCGCCTCCTTCTCAGTGTCTCCAATGTCCTCCATAGGTCAGCCTGTAGGAAGCCGTCCTCACCGTGTCTCACTGCCCTGACTGACTGACTTGTCATTTGGTTTTCCTTGTTTCAACAGTCCTACCGCAAACTTTTTCCATCAGGATTACTGAGGTATAATCACCCCACAGTAAACTGACCCTCTCTAGTGCACAGTCTGAGTTTTGACAACAGCGTGTGGCTGTGGAACCACTACGGCCACCAAGGTAAGAACAATCCTATCACCCCCAAATCCTTGCCTTCTGTCTCTTTGCAGTCAACTCCCTCCAGCCCCCACTCCTGGCAACCACCAATCAGTTTTCTGCCCCTGTCATTTTGCGTTTTCCAGAGTGCCATTCAAATGGTGTCATCTCAGTGAAGCCCTCTGAGTCTGGTTTTGTTCACCTAGCATAATGCATTTCTGATTTATTAATATCTGTGTTGCCTCTTGAATCAGAATATCTTTTTTGTTGCTGTGTAATACTCCATTCTTTATCCATTCAGCAGCTGAAGGGCATTTGTGTTATTTCCAGTTTTTGGAGATTATGAATAAAGCCACTATAAATACTCACATATAAGTTTTTGTATGAATGTAAGTTTTTTATTCTCTTGGGTAAGAACCTAACAGTAGAATTGCTGAGTTGTGTGGTAAGCATATTTTTAACTTTATAAGAAACTGCCAAACCGTTTTCCAAGTTGGCTATACCATTTTGCATTCCCACTAGTAACCTAGGAGAGTTCCAGTGGCTCTGTACCCTTGCCAACACTTGGTATTATCCATTTTCAAAGTCAGTGTAACGATATGTAGTGGTATTGCATTGTGGTTTGTGCGTGCCTGTGTGTGTGTGTGTGTGTGTGTGTTGTTGTTGTTGTTGTTGTTGGTGTTGTTTTTGAGACAGAGGAGTCTCAATCTGTCACCCAGGCTGGAGGACAATGGCATGATCATGACTCATTGCAACTTCCACCTCCTGGGTTTAAGTGATTCTTCTGCCTCGGCTTCCGGAGCAACTGAAATTACAGGCACCCGCCACCACACCCGGCTACTTTTTGTATTTTTAGTAGAAACAGGGTTTCACCATGTTGGCCAGGCTGGTCTTGAACTCCTGACTCAGGTGATCCACCGCCACGGTCTCCCAAAGTGCTAGGATTACAGGCGTGAGCCACCACGCGCAGCCAGCATTGTGGTTTTAATTTGCATTTCCTTAATGACTAATAATGATGAGCATCTATCTTCCCATGCGCCTGATTTATTTTTTTAGTGCCGTTGCTACTGGAGATTAGCATCTTACTTTAATTATTTACCTATTTATTTTCCATCTCTCCCATCACATGTGAAAGCAGAGAACTTGGTATTCATTCCCCAACACCTAGAATAGCATCTGGTAGTGGATAATGACGATGACAATGATGTGGTGACGATGGCTGTGGAGGTGGTGACAGCTAACATTTATAGCGCCCTTAGCGTTTGCTGGCACCATTCGGAGCACTTTACTCATAACTCACTTAGTCCTCACAATTGCTCCAAGAGACAGAGATGCTACCATCACCCCCATTTTACAGAAGGGAACACCAAGGCAGAGAGAGGCAACTAGCCCAAGGTCACACAGTTAATAAGGGGCTGAGCCAATCCTTGATCCCAGGTGTTTTGGAGTCAGAACCCCCGACTAGGTCCTTGGCCGAGCCATAAACGCAGCACCCACGGAGGGATCCATGGTCCTGTAAACTCTGGATCTGGAAGCTCCCTGCTTAGCTTCCCACTAGAATCCATCCCCTTCCTCACTTTCCGGAGAGCGTAGATGTGATCAGGACATTACAATTACACAGCCATAGCAACCACTCGATATGCCCCAGGTGGAGGGAATAAACAGGAGTCACGGCCTTGGCTCTTCTGAAACCTGGCTCTGAGAATGGTCCCATAACAGCCTTTGTACCAGAGAATTTTATTGCTCACTGAATGTCAGCACATCTTCTTGGCATTTCCTCAGCCCCTTTAGAGTCAGTTGGGCCATATGAGAAGTTCTGCCCGACGGGCTGTGAACAAAAGTGATGTCTGTCATTGCTGAGCCAAAGCATTTCAGAGCCCGCGTGTGACCTCATCAGTATCTCTTCTCTGCCGTGGTGACTGGAGGCCACATGTTCTGGAAGGTCCTACAAGATGATGGAGCTCCTGGCAGCTCAGGTCCCTGAGCAGTTGTGTGGCCAGAGCTCCATCTCCCTGCCTACTTCCCACACCAGCATGGAATGTGAGTTCATGTGGTAAACGGAGGAAGGAAGAGAGCCTTTGACGCATTACATCCCTGAGGCTTCAGAGGGTGCGGGTCACTGCAACACAAACTTGCCTATCCTACAACCCCACCTTGGGGACAGGTCACCTTGCTGCATTTGTTGTTAGAACATGTTTGGATGACTCTCCTGGGGAGAGAACTAAGCCCCATTTGGGAGCCTCTAAGCAACTACAACTTCAGTTTGGGTAGAATAATCTCAATTCTCAAGTTCAAGAGTTCCCTACCCACAAGGAAGACGGGGGACTTCCAGGTCCTGCAAGGGGCTCTACCAGCAGGACCTTCCCCACCTGGAGAAGGGAGGCGTGAACTGAGGCAGGTGGTGGCGTCTCCATGAGAGTGGGGCCTATGCTTACATTCGAGGGTCTGAACTTGACTTTAGGGCAAAGGCTGGGGCATCTTCAGTGCTTTATTCTCAACTCTGCTCCAGACCAGCTCCCAGAAAGACTCTGGAGCCCCCACCTCATTCGTCCGCAACTCAGGGGTATAAAGAAAACTCCCACAGGGCCTTGGAGCTGCAAGCTAACTTGCAGGGTGATATTTTGAACTTACTGGTGTTTTACTTTGGCAAAGATCACCTTAAACGTTGTGTGATCCTGTGGGACAGCATGAGGAACAGGAGAAGAGGCCATCCCCTAAGATAACAGGGGCACCAGCAGGCAACCCAGGGGAAAGCCCTTCCTGCTGAAAAACGCCCCTGTGTCTTCTCACTTTCCCCAATAAGTAAGACTTGGCCGCAGTGGAATCCACCCACCAAGAATCAACGGGTGTGACGGATCCAGTGCAACTGAAAACAAAGTCATTCCAGGAAACCAGCAGCCTCTGCTCCATACTCCACCTCGAGCATCTGTCTACTTGGGAGTTTGTTTGATGATGAGAAATTCATTTCTGTGGGTGTGTTGGGGGAGGGGGTAAAGGAGATGTGTTTAATTGGGTGCAGGCCTGAGGTTTTCACCCTGCTTGGACACCCTGCATCCACCATCATGGCCATAGCATTGGCTCAGGTACGCTTGAGATAAGGAACTGTCAGGGATCCAGGGATGGCTCATGGCTAGAGTGGAGTTAGCAGGGCTGGGGTCAGCTCAGACCCTCAGCTCCAAAGTCCACCAGAGCGTCTCACTCAGGGAGGAAGGGGTTGTAGGTTTCGACTCATGGTGTGGTTCAGAGCCCAGGCAATGCTGGGGTGAATGCACAGGCGCTTGAAAAATGCCTGACTAGAATCGCTTTGAGGGAGAAGTCCCTGAATGCAACATGAATCATTGTCCCCTGAATGATTTCCGCTGATTGATTGGGCTTTAGTTCATGGTCTGCCAAGGGTTTGGGGACTGAAAACAGAGGACAAAGGTTCAGAGGCAAATGGTAAAGGCAGTGCCTACGGGAATGCAGGAAGAGCTGGCACAGGAATGGGGGGACAGGTGGAGGGCAGGTGGGGGGAGGGGAGGGAGAAGGGGAGGGAGAAAGGGAGGGAGAAGGGGAGGGGAGGGCGGGAGGGAAAGTGGCCGACACCCAGGTGAGGGTGAGCACCATTGCCACTGCGGTTGTCATAATCATCACGGGCCCCAAAAATCGCACCCAGTGAGCCCCTGGCCTAAGCGCTTTCCTTCTGCTAACTCATTCGCTTTGCACACGTGCCGTTGAGGCAGGCGCCCTGACCATCCTGGTTTCCAGGATGGGGAAGCTGAAGCATGGAAAGGTGAAACGTCTTGTGAGGAATGGGGTCATTTCAAATGGCAGTCTGGCTCCAGCGCCCATCCCTACGAGTCCTTGATAACACCGCGGTGGTCAGGCTGGAGATGGATGGCAGCTCCTCCTGGATGGCACTGGCAGAAATTCTGTCTGTGGGTGGTCAGATCTGAG